TTATTTGGGATTCAGCCACTCTCTGGCATCTCCCTCCTGGCTGTAGGTAGTTTTGCCCAGGTGCTCATGGGGATGTCTTCGTACTGGCACTGGGAGATGTGGCTGCTTTAGGGTCTCCCCTGCTCCTTTAAGTAGCTCCTCACCATGCTCATGTCAGCACTGAGAATTCATTGGTTCAGTCTGTGGTTGGTGCCCTATCTGGGGTGAGTAGGCATTCTAATCTCCCCAGGAAAAGTTAACAGTCAGAGGGAAAGCAGCTCCTATTTGGGTTGTGTCCAGTGCCTCTCACCAGGAAAGACCTACCTGTCTGTTTCCCGTCATCTCAGGTGACCTTCTGGGAAAGGGGAGGCTGTCAGCAGGGAGTGGCTGAGAGAAAGATTATTTCCCATTCCCTTTTTGTGAATTTTCCTTATCTTTAGGATAGTGTTTAATGTACCTGGAATGGGATTGGTGCTCACTCTCTCTCTCCTTCCCTTCCCCCCCGTGTGTGCATGTGTGTGACATATGGGCATATGCACACATGTGTGGCTGTGTGTAGAGGCCCCAGGTTGATGTCAGGTGTCCTCCTCAGTCCCTCACCTTACTCTTAGCCAGCTTTCTCACTGAACCCAGACTCGTTGATTGACAAGATGGTCAGTAAGCTCCAGGGATCCTCCTTTCTTCAGCAGCCCAGCTCTGGGCTGTGCCTGGCAAAGGTGAGCTAAGTGGGTAGGCTGAGTACACAGGATGGGATCTGCAACTTCATTCTGTCTATCTAGGACACCGAAGGGCCAGGTAGCTCTGATTCTGACCTACAGTGTCTTGGGTCTGATATCTAGAGATTATGTCGTTTCTGGAGATTTCTGGAGAGGCAAAGCATTCTAGCTGCTCCGAAAGTGGCGGTGACATCATCTGTGCTGATCAAGCACATTGTCAGAGGCCTGCGAACGTGGCCAGGGCTTCCATCCTGCAGACATGTTAGGGTGTTGTTGTATTTTGCTAGGGTAGCCAGGCGCCTAAAGCATCTTGCCATTGAATCCAGGACTGTGATTTACTAATGATGCTTCTGTCTCTTGAGTCTCTGGAAGCACTGACCCCACATCACTGAGAGATGCCAGACCAGACCTGGCGCCTGTAACTTGGTAATGTAGTGGGATATTGTATTGGTTCTTTTTTTTTTTTTAATTAACTTAACATAAACCTAGACATACCATTTAGAAGGAATCTCAATTGAGTAACCGCCGCCTCCATCCAGTTGACTGGTGGGCATGTCTATGGGAGCATTTTCGTGATTGCTAGTTGATCTAGGAGGGGCTAGCCCACTGCGAAACACCTACGGGCGTGTGGGCCTGGGCTGGGTAAGAGATGCAGCTGAGCAGTCCATGGCTAGCGATCCAGAAAGGAGCGTTCCTCTGTGCATCCTGCTTCAAACTCTTGCCCTGAGTTCCTGCCCTGGCTTCCCTTGATGGTAGACTGTAACCTGTAAGATGGAATAAACCTTTTGCTCCCCAAGTTGCTTTTGGTCACGTGTTTCTCATAACAACAAGAAGCAAATTAGGACAGGGATGTTTGCTTGTCCTGTTGGTGGACAGTTCTGTTGACGGCGGGTTTGTTGGCAGGATCTAGATGTTGCTGCAACACCCTTCCCATGCTGACTGTGCACCCTCTGGACAGTGGAGACATTTTCGTCATCCTGCAGGAGGTGGATGCCATCGCTGCCCAGGGAGGTCGTACGTTCATCACTCTTCCCCCCTGACCTGTGCGTGACCCCCTCGCACCCTGCCTCTGGCTGACTGGCCTTGCTGTCTGCAGCTGCAGGAGCCGCTGCTCTCCTGGCAGCCTCAGGGTTTCCTGGAAACCACGTCCTCCTGTGCCCAGGGCCAGCTCATTACCTGCCTCCTTGGCTCTAGCCACGTCTGGCTTCCAGTGGACTTGTCATTTGATAAATGAGTTTTCCTCCCTTTGAGCTAAGGGCTTGGGGATGCTTTAGGTTCTCAGGGAATGTTTCCAGGAGCTGTGGCCTGGCTCCTCTGACTCTGTCCAGTCAGAGTGCCTGCTGCTGCCTGGCACAGGGACAACTGTGGCTGCTTGTGCTGGCTTCCAAGACTGGAAGAGATAAGAATGTCATGTGCATGATAGAGTGAGGCCAGGCACCCCTTCCTGAAAGCCATCCGTCCTGAGCTGTCCACCTGCTGATGGCACACAGTGTTTTCTCCATGCTGACTTCATTTTGACCGCAAACTCTTTGAAGACACTTAGTCTAAGAGTAGTTTGTCCTTACTGAATTTAGATTTTTAACATAATTCATAAAAGATAAAGGGAGGCAAAGGGACTTAACACAGATTTAGTCGTTATTCCTGATATATGGATGACTGAGTAATTATTGGTGTGAAATATTGTTATGAACAAATCCTTAAAGTATCACTGATAAGAGGAATTTAGTGAGTAGCTACCAATGTCTGATAGAGGCTGACTAGAAAGCCACTTGCCTTGTGGCTGTGCACTTAGTAAGTCATGGGGTGGGGATACTTTCCATAGCTTTTTCATGAGCTCTGGGCTCTGGCCTGCATACCAGAAGTTGTACACTCTGGTGACTTGGTCAGTGCCCCCAGGCATTGCTGTTGCTTTATGTGAAGGACTTGAGGAAGAAGCTTTTAGGTTGGATGTGGGTAATATTTTTGATTAATAGGGTTTGAAGTTTTAAGATGTGTATAAATAAAGTGGCAAAGTTCCCAATGGTGACCTGATATCTGTTGTTTGACCTCTGTAAGTCACAGGCCTGCGTTGGCATAAGCCGCTGTCTGACTGCCTTCAGGAACCAGCACCTGACACCCTGCTTTCCTAGGTGCTGTGGCAATTCTTCCTCTAGATCTCGAGGTGGGCTTGTTGCCCTCAGCCAGGCACTGGAGCCCACTGGATGGGCACTCCATGCTGTCCAGCCTTGCTGCTGTCTGAGATCGCGGTCTGCAAATGCTTGGAGATTGGTGTCTGCGGCTTGCTTCCTGCTGTATGAGTATATCTATGAACTATATTCATTTTTCTTTCAGTAGAATTATTATCTGAAATATTCATTGGAACTGGCTAATCAGTACAGCTCTTGGAACAAATGTACTGAGTCCAGTCTGTCCTCATAAATCTGTTAATGCTGATGAGATACAGTTGTTGCCTGGGAAGCTTGGGTGATGTGAGACTGGTGGGGGAGTAAGTGGGCTGCCAACGCTTTTCTGGACTTGGCTGTGGCCGAGGTAGGCCCTGCCCATGTGTATATTACCTCCCCCACACGTGCATGCAAGTGCACACCCCCCACCTTCCCCACCCATACTACACATACACACATACATACATGCACACACACACTACACATTCACCACACCACACACA